ACAGTGCACAGACCCTCTTTGAAAGCAGGTTATTAAAAAATGATGATGATCATAGCATTTACTCTGTCCTGGCTGTGTGATCAGTGGGGTGCTCTCTGTGTCTCCCTCTGCTGCTGGTGGAGGGGGGCTCAGGGTGCCCGGGGAACAAACATTTCCTGAGGCCCCACAGGAGGATGAGGTACTGGGGAAGCTTTATTTCTGTGGAACCAAACCCCTGAGTTTCCAAGGCCCCTCTCCCTCCGTCCTGCCATGAAAAAGTCCCATGTTGTCTTCAGCAGAACCAGGATTGCAGCCATTCCCAGAGTTCCTGCTCCATATTTGCACAGTCCCGTCCAGCCCAGCATCTGGCGGGTGAGCTTGTGTTCCCAGGTGCAGCCCATTTGTGTGTGTGGGGGGGGGGGCTGCATGGTGCGCTAAGACGGGTCACTAGCAAAGGAGAAACAGGAGAGCAAGCAAGAGCAACCAGAGAGAGAGAGAGTTCTTAGTCTAGAGATTATGTATTCCCAATGTTGATGGGCTTGCATTGGGGTGCACCCTTTTAGCCAATGATCTTTGTTCCCAGGTTAGACTGACAGGCAGGCCCCTTCCCTATGTCACCCGGTCTTCACTGCACATGTGCCATCTCCCCTCTGTGGAGCCCTCCCCCAGTGACTTCCAGGGAATAGACTGGCTCCCTGGGGAGTGTCAAGTTGCAGCTTCCTGGTGAGGCTGCCCAGATGACCTTGCTTATTATGTGTGGCCTCCCCTTTACTCCTTCCCTATTATTTTTTAAATGTATTTTCTTGATGTTTTTACAGAAAGGAAGGGAGAGGGATAGAGAGTTAGAAACATTGATGAGAGAAACATCGAGCAGCTGCCTCCTGCACACCCCCTACTGGGGATGTGCCTGCAACCAAGGTACATGCCCTTGACCAGAATCGAACCTGGGGCCCTTCAGTCCACAGGCCGACGCTCTATCCACTGAGCCAAACCAGTTAGGGCTCCTTCCCTATTATTAATATGAAGGACTAGCTTGTTATGAGGTCAGCAGGTATATGTGTATTACACAGGATTCTATTACAATCATGCCTCAAAACAGCAACCATGCCTCAAAACAAACACCGAACATCTCAGGAGATTATATCAACATTATTTTTCTCCTTAATGGGTCTACAGGGGGAAACTGGGTGTAGCTGGGCTGGGTGGGCTTGCCTGTGATTGGCTGACCGGAGTTGGACTTTAGTTTGTAAGTTGGGTTCCGGCCAGTTCCATGGGTCTCTTCATTCTGGGACCAGGAGCTACAGGACAGGTGCTTCATTTCGGCCTCCCCCTCCCCCATCTCCTTCTCTCTCTCCTCCCCCTTTTCTGGTTCCCATCAGCTCTCCCTTCTCCTCCTCCCACCTCTTCCTCTAACTTCCCAGATGAGAATCCTCAGGCCTCCCCTCCCCTAGTGGCCATAGCGCATCCCTGCACCCCGTGCTCTTGGGCAAGGAGCCCACCTCTCCCTCCACCAGGTTTCCACATCTTTGATTAATAAAATCTCAAACCTTTTTATTTCTCTGTGACCCACAATATAAAATGCATTTCATATTGTAGCTCAGGATACACACATTTATGTATACTGCATGCTCTCAAAGTTCCATTCATGTGTATTGAAGTTTGATCTCTAATATATTGATTTCCTGCACCATCAATGGCCCAGGACCTGCAGGTGGAGAACTGCTCTATGACGGTTGTCTTATGGCAGAAACATTAGGCCCCACGTCCTGTGGGCTCTGCTTTTGTTGTCCACAGACAGGACTTGGACCCTCAAACATTTACCTTCATGCTAGAGTTTTTGACATGGATTGTGAAATAAATTTGAAAGAGAAAAATGTACTTCTCTTCATGTTCATGTTGAAGAACCTTTCACTGTGCATGAGGCAGCACAGAGAGTTTTCTGAGGCAGAAGGTTAAATACTTGGGCTAAGGGTTCTTGCCCACCCTCCCCATCTCTGTATCAGTCCAGGCCACACACCCATGGCAGCCCCTGTACAGCTGCACGTTGGTTCCCTAGGCCTGTCTGGTGCACAAAGTGCCACCAACTGGGCGGCTTCAGCCCCAGAGCGTTGTCTTCTCAGCTTCAGCTCCGGATCCCCACAGGGTGGTCCAGGATCTGCCCTAGTGTTGGGGGTTCCTGGCAGTCTTGGCTTCTCCTGGTTTGTCTCTGCCTTCATTCTCACGTGGTTCTCCCGTGTCCCATGAAGAAGCTGGGTCAGCCCTGAGTTCTTGCTAAATGCAGCAGGTGATGGGAATCCCACTAGGTTAGTGGTTCTCAACCTTGGCTGCACATTAGAATCACCTGGGAGTCTTTTTAAAATCCTGATTTCTGGGCCTCATCCTCTGGAAATTCTGTTTCCTTGTTATGGGGTGAGGCACACCTTAGTAACAAAGAAACAGAATTTCGGGAGGATGAAGCCCAAAAATCAGGATTTTAAAAACATTTCCCAGGTGATTCTAATGTGCAGCCAAGGTTGAGAACCACTAACCTAGGTGATCAGTGAGAAGGTCCTCTCTTGATTTAACTCAGCTGTGATACCATCACCCCAGGAAAGCCTCATTTCTGCGCTATTTTACTGCATATTTTAACTACACATGCGTTAGGGAGAGAGAGGCAACTGACATTGATGAGGGTGGTAGGTGTGGGAGAATGGGTTTGAGGCTCTGAAGGCCTCAGCCCTCCAACCACCACCCTGGGGTGTCCTGTCAGATTGTGTTATTGGCTTAAACAATAGAGATTTTCTCAGTTAACAAAGAGTCCTGAGGTTAGGAGGCAGCGGCACTCTGCAGCCCTCCTCCTAGTGGTCTTTCCCGTTCTAGAGATGCAGGGAAACGAACTTATTGGGCGACATGTCCCAATCCTATGAAATTCAAGTGGCAGCCCATACATGAGGGTTTACAGGAAGCAGCCAACCCTTCCACCTAAGATTGTGCTACAGGAGGGGCTGTGGAGGAGACCCCGGGGTCCGCACAGCCAAAGTATTAACACCCGGCACTTGACAGAGAAAACATTTCTAGATCCCGGGCCAAGTCTACTCCTGACTAATTTCTAGGTAGAAGACAAATAAATTGCTTCAGCATGAAAAATGCACTGTTCCTAGCCTTTTGAGATTATCTGGCCTTTTGATTTTCTTTTTCTCTTTTCAGAGGCAATGGTGTGTGTGTGTGTGTGTGTGTGTGTGTGTGTGTGTGTGATTGGAGTTGGGGGCAGGCATGTGTTGAGGTGAACATAAGTACCCTCTTCCCAAAGCCAAAGAATTTCATTCAAGGTGCTAGACTTGTGGGGGCAGGGAAGATATGGGGGACACCAGGAGGGGCCGTGGGGTGAAGAACAGAGCCAGACAGCAGTTGTTATGGTCACTTGTGACTCACTCAGAAAACACTCAGTGAGAGTCCTTGGGAGACTGAGTGACAGGCCAAAGCCCTTTCTCTCTCTCAGGAGGCAGCGAACAGGACCATGGCAGCCGGCACAGGCTCCCGCCTGCCAGTGGATGGTCCAGTGGGCCCAGCACCCCCACACCCACCCAAAGCTCCTTCCTGGGCCCACAGACCCCAATTGGGCCACTGTGTACATTTCTTCTAGAATAACCTTCCCACGGCACATTTCATACCATTCCCCACCTGTCCCTAAATGCTTTCCTGGAACCTCCACTACCTTCTAATTTTGACACTGCAGTCAGCACACAAGCAACAGTTCCACTAGCAGTGACTCCAGGACTGGACTCTGTTCCCCATGCCATTCCCTTCACCTGAATTGTTCCTTCACATCTGCCTCCTGGGAAAACAACTCCGGTTGCTCCCAGCCTGGAGTGTTCCCAGCTTCTGCTGACAGCCAGCAAGGAATAGCAACCTGGGTCCCACCACTGCAGGAAACTCCATTCTGCCAACAACCAGAATTCGCAAGAAACAGACTGTTCCCTAGACCCTCCAGAAAGGAGCCAGCCTGCAGACACCTGGATGTCAGCCCGGCCAGAGCCATGCTGGGCTTCCCACCTACAGACATGTGAAGTAAGGAATCTGTGTTGCATTAGGTCATGAAATTTGTGGTTTTTATTAGCAGCTTACAAAGCTAATACAATGAGGATTTTGTGAAAATGTGGTGGGTAAACTGTGGGGGTGAAAATCTAGAAGCTCAGATGCAGAGTGAAGACCATTAACCAATTTATTTAACAAATGTAACCTGACCACCACCTGCCGGGTGGAGGGGACACAGTGGTGACCAATCACAGTTATGGTGATGGAGGGCTTTTCCCCAGGACCCAGCAGTTACAGGAACCTCTGGGAACATCAGCACATGCTCAGCGTGGAGTGTCCCTTTCCTGGCGATGGGGCCAGAATGTGATAAAAATTCCACTGCAGTTCACCTGGCTCCCTTCCCCCAAATTCATGCCTCACACATGAGCCTTAGGGATGAAGCTGGCGGGTTGGTTCAGCATCATGATCACAGGTCAGAAGCTGGTTAGGAGTTTGGCCTCTAGTCCCTTCTCAGCCCTGGGTGAGGTGGTCACTGTGAGTTCGTTCTGTGGATGACGTCATCATGGACAGCCAGCCAATGGAGAGTGGACCATGGCTCTGACTGTCCCCCTTGAAGGAACCAGGTGGGGTGTGGCCTTTGTAGTCACCTACAGTGACCTTCACCCTGGGGCCCTGGGAAGGGAACCTCAGGCTGCCCATGACCCTGCCCAACAGGAACAACTGGCTGCAAAGGAACAGACTGGAGGTGGAGGGAGGGTCAGAGGTCAAACACCTCCAGCAGCACTAGTTTCTGCATGAATTATGTCACTTCCCTGGGCCCTGCCTCCCTTTCCACACTTTCCATGAGGCCCCCTCACAGGGGTGTGGTGAGGATTGGTGAGTGAGATTCACCTGGAGCATTTAGCCCAGCACCTACCACCTTCTAAGTTATCTGTGACTGTGAGCTATGGTTGCAGGAAGGGAGCTGAGCAAACTTTTCACCTTTGGAAAGTTATCTTCCTGCACCCTGGTCTCATTAGTCATGTGGAAAAGTTGAAAGATAACTAGTAAAGTGCTTCACTCAGTGAGTTTTTAGTAAGTATGTTCCTGATGTAAGTATGTTCCTGATGTAAATATGTTCCTGCTGTGAGGTTTGGCTGTTAAGCAGGCCCTCACCTCAGGGCTGGGCAGGGGGAAGCAAAGACTTTACTTCCGCCTGAGGGTCCTCAATGCTGTTAGCTGAGCCTGAGGCCACTGGGGTCTCCAGGGAAGGGTCAGGCAGTGGGTCAGGCAGAAGGGAACTCCTCATTCCTTTTAGTGCTGGGCAAATGGTCAAGGCAGTGGGCTCCTGTGTCAAAATCCTGAAAACAGGCCACAGAGGCCCAGAGAAGGGAGTCTGTGAGAAGGTGTAGATGTGCAATCCATCGATGGCATCATAGAACGAAACCTTCCCCCTCTCATAGTCCAGGAAAACCCCCACTCTTTTAGGAGGTTTGACAATAGTGAGTTTGCTCCAGGGGTCCGTTCGAGCGTGGAAGGCATGCCCACCCAACAGTGCTATTGTCCAGAATCCATTCTGGGGTGTTATTTTAACATCACGTTTTCTCTCCACGTTCTCCCTACACACCCCTAAATTCCACTGTTTCCTGTCCCCCACCTCTACCTCCCAGAAGTGTCTGCCTGAAGTGAAGCACTCACGGCCCAGCACACAGAAACGATATTGAAATCTCCTGGGGTTGTCTGGCAGGCTCTGCCTTTGTTTTATCCTCTTCAGGCTCCTCTGGTCCTTAGAAATAAGGAGGTTGGGGTGCGCAGTGTCTGGATCCAGAATCACGTCCGCTGCAGAGAGTTCCAATGGTGTGGGGTCAGCCATGGTTTCTGGATCTGAGAGCCTCAGGCTCCAAGGCTTGGGTCTGGCTTGTGAGACCTGAGCCCAGAGCCTGGGGTCCCAGCTGCCCTGAGTGTGACCCTCAGCAAAGCCAAGAGACACCACAGGGCCTGGTGGTCAGTGAGGAAGGGAGGGTGAGGAGGGCTGGGGTCTGCCTAACCCGCCATCTCAAGTGGCCACCTTCCTTCTATCTTCCTCCTGTTTCTTCCCCAGAATGACTGTGCCCACCTGTGCTGCAGAGTCACATGGATTCCATTTCTAGCCATTGCTCTACCCTCCTGAGCTGGACGACTTCCTTTTCTGCATGGTCTCTTTTCACACACACACACACACACACACACACACACACACACACACTATGTAATGTCCCAAGTCTCAATGTGATGTCTGTAAAACAGGAATAAAAATACTCATCTCTAGGGTAGAATAAAACAGAAAGTGAGCAGTATGTAGCCCAAGGCCAGGCATGGAGGAAGCATATAGTGTGGTCACAGGGACCAGGTCTCTGCTGTGCTGGGCCATGCTGGGCTCTATGTGATCCTCACTCCCCACCTGCCCCTCCCTCTATGCCCAGGAATCGTCCTCCTTGGGCATCATCACTGGGCTCTCTTGCCTCTGGTCACATGTTGGCTTTGGCCAAGGGCAGTACTGGCTGAAGACTGGAGGGAAGGAAAGAAAGGCAAGACTTCCCCACTTCCTGTGATGGAGACGCTCTAATAGAGCACGCCTCCTCTCAGGCAGCCTCTCTCTGAGCCACAGCCTCCTGGGGTCTTGTGGTGGAAGGGCTCCAGGGACTGCTCCCCGACCCTCTGCCTTGGGCCTGGGGTGGTGGCAGCTCCCACTGCTGTGAGCCTGGGGCACTGCTCTTCCTTGTGGTTTCCCTTAACGCCACCCCTGCCTCTGGAGGTAGGTCCTTCCCTAAACCCTCTGTAATCACTGGGCGGATGTGGCTGAATCAACCCAACTCCATCTCTGATCTCTGATTTCCTTCATCTCTTCATGCTGTGACCTTTGACCAACCTCCCTGTCCTTAGCAGGCACACCAAAGCCTTCAGGGTGATGATGATGTGTGGTCCTTAAAATGTAGCCATAAACAGTTCTGTCAGTAACACTAGAACGACATGACAAGGAGGTCAACACCTAATGTGATGGTATCGATTATAAAGAACCTTCCACCACAAGACCCCAGGAGGCATGGCTGGTGCTGCCACACTGTTTGTCTCTTTGTCCTGAGGAGGAAGCATAAAAGCTCTCAGAATGTGGGGCTTCCCTCCATCACGGTGGGGCTGTGGGTGACGGGGCCAGGCTGTGCCCAGGCCTGAGACTTATGATCCACAGAGGAAGAAGGCAGAGTCACCTCCACTGTCATTTCTGAGTCCTTTCCTCTCTCTCCCTTTTGACCCCCCACCTCTCGTTCTATCTGCCTGTTCAGTTCCTGCTCCCCTCTTCTCTTTAAAGTCACCGGCACCTAGTGACCTGCAGGCCCCGAGTGGGGCTTTCCCAGCTGCACCTGCAGGTCTGTCCTGTACGTGTCTGTACAGCAGTCACCTTTAACCATTGTTTCACTTTCTGAAGTTTCAGTTACCCTCTGTCACCCACAGTTGGAAAAGATTAAATGGAAAATAAGCAATTCATAAGTTTTAAATTGCACATCATTCTGAGCAGTGTGATGACACCTGTGCCATTCATCTCTCACATGCCAACCTGAGGACATCCCTGTGCCCAGCACGTCCACCCTGTGTTCCTCTCATAAGCCACTTAGTCACTGAGGAGCCAGCTCTATGGTCAGATCTGCCTCAGCATCACAGGGCTTGTGTGAAAGTCCCCTGATGTTACTTAACAATGACCCATCATTGCAATGACCCATTGGGGTGTGGCAATGAGAAGCCTTCCTTTAAGTGAGAAGGAGAAACCTCCTATACACAGGGTGTGGTGCTATCCGTGGGCCAGGCACCCACTGGGTCTTGGATGCCATGCACCTGGCATAGGAAGTGACTGTCTTACTCCTGTACTTGGCATAAGCTTGCCGTGTGCATTCGTGTATGCATATGTGTGCTGAAATCCATCCATCTCAATCTGCATGATATCCTGCCATTTTCCAAAAAGAATTGGGCGACTTATTGAGAAAATTTCAGGCACTACTTTTCAGCAGTTATGATAAATCTGGGATTCCCTCCTCCTTAGAAGAGAATGTTGCTCTCTCCTTCTGGTTTCCTCTCAGCAGCCTATAGATTCTGTACAGGAGCCAGGGAGGGAGGACTCACATCCTGAGTCCATCTCCCCTCTCCTTTCTGGGGTTCCCTGGACATCCGGGTGGAGCGGCCTGGTGGAGGGAGCCTGACCCCTTTCTCCAGGGAGGAAACCCGGCCGACCTCCCCCATCAGCGTCCTCATTCCTTCCCCTGGGCGGTCAGGGGTGAGGAAGGGGCTGGACAGGTCCCAGCAGAGAGTCTCAGAGGCAGGTCCAGGTCTAGGTACTCACGCGCCAGGTACTCCTGCTTCATCCTTCCTGCAGGGGAAACGGGAGGGGTCGGTGAGGGGGTAACCAGGCACCCCAGAACCCGCGATGAGGGGGGTTGGGGGCCGGGACTTACTGAGCTCCTCCTGCAGCTTCTCTGGAAATAAGCAGAAAGAGAAGGTGCTGTCATGGGGATGGTTGGGGGGACCCACGCAGTGGGTGGGAGGCCTGGAGCGGGGAGGTCCCACCCACCTGCAGCCAGGCCTCACCTTTGGCGATTCGCTCCCACTGGCTCAAGGCCCGGATTCTCTCTTGCTGTCGACCCCAATAGATCACCGCCCCGACCAGGATCCCCAGCAGAGACAGAAGGGTCACCCCGAAGGCCGCCCGCCAGGGTTTCGGGCTGGAGAAGAAGGGGCCTGCGGAGGGAAAGCCTCAGTCACTCACCCGAAGGGGCGCGGGGTCTCCAGGAGGGGAAGCGACATTGCTCTTCCCAAAGTGCCCAGAACTCTCCCGTCACACAGACTAGTGTCCTCATGTCTGGCTCTCACATGGGAACAGTTAGAACATAACGTACAGACAGTCACTGGAGCCTCCTCTCCACCCCCTCCCCCATGTATCAGCGTCTCATCAGCGGCTTAACCTGCTGCCTCAGAAGGTGACCTTTGGGGCTGGAGGGTGACCTTGAACCAGTGACGTAGCCCTTCTGTCCTCAGTGTCCTCATCGGCAGAGCATGACGTTAATGCTCTAAAGTCCCAGACACAACGTCAGTGCCATGCGAGAGTTTATTCATTTTAAAAACATAAACATCTTCGAGACCCAAGATGGTGACCATGGGGACCACAGGCTGCAAGATAGTGTGTGAGTGAGAGAGCGGAAGGGAGGGCGTGGATGGCGGGAGTGTCTGTGTGTGTGAGGGAGGGAGGGACAGCTATGTTCCACGGGAGTGTCTGTGTGTGTGAGGGAGGGACAGCTATGTTCCACGGGAGTGTCTGTGTGTGTGAGGGAGGGAGGGACGGCTATGTTCCACGGGAGTGTCTGTGTGTGTGAGGGAGGGAGGGACGGCTATGTTCCACAGGGCTGTTGGGACTGGCGGACCGGGCTCCCCAGCGGGGCAGCCGCTGCTGCTGCTGAAACGTCTCCCGAGCGGCCGGCTCTGCCGCAGAGTCTGTGCCATCTTGAAGGGGAGAGCGGCTGTGATTGGGAGCCCAGCCTCACCTCCACCCGGGAGACCTCGGATACCTCCCGGGACCCTAAAACCACATCGCCCAGGGACCAGCTGCCTTAGCTGCCAACCCACGAACACCAGGACTCCAGCCTCCCCGGCCACGGGCACCTAAAAAGTTTGTCCAGGGGGAGACAAGCTGGCAGCTGAGTACACGGACGGGTCCTGCGCCTTCTCACAGAGCAGATGGAAGGAAGAGCTGCACCGAATAACACCCACCCGGAATTGGAGAATTAAACACAACTGGAGAGGAAATCCGTGGACAGAAAGGTCAGAGATCACCTAGAGCAGCAGTTCTCAACCTTCCTATGCCTCGACCCTTTAATACAGTTCCTCATGTTGTGGTGACCCCCAGCCATAAAATTATTTTCGTTGCTACTTCATAACTGTAATTTTGCTACTGTTATGAATCGTCATGTAAATATCTTTTATGCAGGATGTATTTTCATTGTTACAGATTGAACATAATTAAAGCAGAGTGATTAATCACAAAAACAATATGTAATTATATATGTGTTTTTCCGATGGTCTTAGGCGACCCCTGTGAAAGGGTCGTTCGACCCCCCAAAGGGGTCGCGACCCACAGGTTGAGAACCACTTACCTAGAGAGAGAAATAAGTTCTGCCTCTTCAGGTTCACCTGGCTGTCGTTTGGGTGTTTGTTGTTTGCAGTTTTGGGATTAGTTGTAATTTGTTGTTTGCATTCTTCTCTGGGTGTTTGTTGTTGGCATTTTTTTGGATTAGTTGTTGTTTTTTTGGAGTTTTCTCCCCAGATACGTATATATTTTTCCCTTCTTTTTTCTTCTCTTTTTTTCCCCTCCTTTACATTTTTTCCTTATCTCAATATCATTTTTGCACTCTTTTCTCTTCCCTAATTCTCTTTTCTCTGGTGGTCACTTTATTTGAAGTTATTGGTATGGTGAATCCATTTGTGTTTGGTGCCCTGTGTGTTGTGTCTTGTGGTGTTGTATTTTGTGCCTTTAAGTTAACACAGGAGAGAGAGGACACCATAACCAGACACCCTGAGAGGAGCGAACACAGGGAGACAAAGAAACAGCCCCCGTACAAAAGAAAAGAGGAATCACCGTAAAAGGAAATAAACGAAATGCAGGCAAGCAATTTGTCAGAGAAAGAATTCAGAGCAATGGTCATAAGGACACTGAAAAGGATGGAAGACAAATTAAATAATATGTATAAGAATCAAGAGGAAATGAAGAAGAACCAAGAAGAAATGAAGAATGACATCACTGCAATAAAGAACACAATATAAAGTATCCACAGTAACTAGAAGAAGTGGAGGACAGCATCAGTGAGCTGGAAGACAAGGTAGGAAAAACTACCCACACAGAGAAGCAACTGGAAAAAAAAACTTAAAAAACAGGAGGAGAGCCTAAGGGAACTTTGGGACAACACAAAATGAAACAATATCTGCATAAGAGGGGTGTCAGAAGGAGAGGAAACTGAGCAAGAAAAAAAAAACCTGTTTTGAAGAAATAATGTCAGAAAACTTCCCAGATATCAGGAAGAAAAAACTCACACAAGTCTAAGAAGCTCACAGAGTCCCAAACAAGATGAACCCCAACAGACCGACACCAAGACACATTATAATTAAATTGGCAAACACCAATGGCAAAGTAAGAATCTTCAAGGCTGCCAGAGAGACACAGAAAGTTACCTACAAGGGATCTCCCATCAGACTATCAACTGATTTCTCAACAGAAACACATCAGGCCAGAAGGGAATGGAATGAAATATACAAAGTCATGCAAAGCAAGGGTCTGAATCCAAGAATACTGTACCCAGCCAGGCTATCAATCAAAGTTGCGGGTGAAATCAGGAGCTTCACAGACAAAAAAGGACTAAGGGAGTTTATTACCACCAAACCAGCCATGCAAGCAACGCTAAAGGGTCTGCTGTCAAAAGAAGAAATAGGAAGGGAAGAAGGAACACAGACATGAAGAATAAAATGGCGACAAACAAGTACCTATCAATGATAACTTTAAATGTAAATGGATTAAATGCCCCAATTATAAGATATAGATTAGCTGAATGGATAAGAAAATATGACCCATATATCTGCTGTCTACAGGAGAACCACCTCAGAACCAAGTATTCACACAGACTGATGGCAAAGGGATGGAAAAAGGTTTTTCAGGTGAATGGAAGTGAAAAAAAAAAAGCTGGCATAGCAATACTGATATCTGACAAATTAGACCTCAAAGGGAATGCCATAACAAGAGATAAGGAAGGCCACTTCATAATACTAAAGGGAGCAATTCAACAAGAAGATATAACTCTGCTAAACATATATGCACCCAATACAGGAGCATCCAAATACATGAAAAAACTTCTGGAAAATATCCAGGGAGAGATTTACAGCAATACAGTCATAGTAGCGACTTTAATACCCCACTAACACCATTGGATAAATCCTCTAAACAAAAAATCAGCAAAGAAACATCAATGCTAAGTGACTCACTAGATCAGATGGAATTAATTGACATCTTCAGAACATTTCACTCCAAAGCCACAGAATATACATTCTTCTCAAGTGCACAGGGGTCATTTTCAATGATAGACCACATATTGGGGCACGGGCAAAGTCTCTTTAAATTGAAGAAGATAGAAAACATATCAAGCATCTTCTCAGATCACAATGGCAGAAAATTAGAAATCAACTACAATAAAAACAATGAAAGAAATCAAATACCTGGGGCTAAATAGCATGCTATTAAACAATGATTAGGTTACCAAAGAGATCAAAGAAGAAATAAAAAGCATTGTGGCAATAAATGACAATGAAAACACAATAATCCAAAATCTATGGGCACAGTTAAAGGAGCATTGAGAGGGAAGTTCATAGCTCTACGGGCCTACCTCAAAAACCAAGAAAAAATGGAAATAAATGATCTAACCCTACAACTCAAAGAGTTCGAAAGAAACAAGAAAACCCCAGTGTAAGTAGAAGGAAGGAAATAATAAAGATCAGAGTGGAAATAAACAACATAGAGACCAAAAACACAATACAAAAGATCAACAAAACCAAGAGATGATTCTTTAAAAGGATAAACAAGACTGATGAACCTCTGGTCAGGCTCACCAAGAAGCAAAGAGAGAGGACCCAAATAAACAAAATCAGAAATGAAAAAGGTGAAGTAACAACTGATCCTATAGCAGTGATGGCGAAACTTTTGAGCTCGGCGTGTCAGCATTTTGAAAAACCCTAACTTAACTCTGATGCCGTGTCACATATAGAAATATTTTGATATATGCAACCATAGTAAAACAAAGATTTATATTTTTGATATTTATTTTATATACTTAAATGCCATTTAACAAAGAAAAATCAACCAAAAAAATGAGTTCGAGTGTCACCTCTGACACGCATGTGATAGGTTCGCCATAACTGTCCTATAGAAATACAAAGGATTATGAAACAAAGCAATGAACAGCCTATTCCAAAAAAATGGACAACCTAGACAAAAAGGACATATTTTTAGAAAAATACAAGCTCCCAAAGCTCAATGAGGAAGAATTAAAAAAACCTGAGTAGGCTGATAACCACCAAAGAAATTGAAATACTGATCAGAAATCTTACAGCAAACAATAGCCCTGGTCCGGACAGGTTTACAGGGGAGTTCTACCAAACATTCAAAGAAGAACTAAAACCTATTCTCCTCAAACTATTCCAAAAAATTCAAGAGGAAGGCACACTTCCAAGCTCTTTGTATGAAGCCAGCATTAACCTAATTCCAAAACCAGAAAAAGACACCACAAAAAAAGAGAACTACAGGCCAATATCCTTGATGAATATAGATGCTAAAATCCTCAACAAAATTCTAGCAAATGGGATCCAGCATTACATTAGAAAGATCATACACCATGACCAAGTGGGATTTATTCCGGGGATGTAAGGATGGTACAATATCCACAAATCAATAAATGTGATACATCACATAAACAAAATGAGAGACAAAAATCACATAATCAAATTAATCGATACAGGAAAAGTATTTGACAAAACCCAACATCCTTTCTTTTTTAAAAAAAATATATTTTATTGATTTTTTCCTGAGAGGACGGGAGAGGGATAGAGAGTTAGAAACATCTATGAGAGAGAAACATGGATCAGCCGCCTCCCGCAAGCCCCCCACTGGGGATGTGCCCGCAACCAAGGCACATGCCCCCGACCAG